GTGCGGGCGGTACAAAGTAATAAACCGCCCCGGGTGTCAGGTTGGCATAGGGGGCGGAGCGTTCGCCTACCGTCCGGGAATCCCTGCGACACCCAGGTTCCGTCCGTTTAAAACAAATCTCGCCAAAAGCTATCTGACTAGTGCGGTACAAAGTAATAAACCGCCCCGGGTGTCAGGTTGGCATAGGGGGCGGAGCGTTCGCCTACCGTCCGGGAATCCCTGGGTTCGACACCCAGTCGGTCCACTTGTTCGCCGGAGTGGACGAACGAAAAATAGGTGAAACCGAGGCGAACTGCTAAGCACCGATGGACGAGCAACCAAATGTTGACATTAGCTACTGAAGAGTAAGCAGGCCTCAAGTAGGAACGAAACGGGAAAAAGATTGGCAGTAACGAAACAAACGGCATAATAATGAACAAGCCCAGGTCACGTTACTCATGAGTAGCCAGGAAACAAGGGGGGTTACCGCTGTTCACCGTTGATTCACACGAATGATCAGTATGCATGTATGTTGATTCTTCCTGTGACTGAATTATCGGTGAAAAACGATATATATATATATATGGCGGAAAAATTGAAATACAAAGTAATTAATCAACCGGACTCAGATCCGGGTTTGAAAACGTTTCAGTTTATGCCTTTTCTGGATTAAGGTGGCAACACGGAATTCAAAATTTTGCTCCAAAGCTACATGTTTGTTGAGATGTCTAGACAGACAACACGGGTTTATGTACTTTTATTAGCTGGGGTAAAATAACTCAAATCTCCACGAAAGTTAAAAATTTTTGACATCACCTGGAGGTCAAGGAGACGCCGAAATGCCAAGTTCACGTATTTGTTAGCCGGTATTCAGTGCACAATGTAGTCATGTTTTTGATCACTTGTATCACTGAGCGAATACACTGAAAACCCCATGCAAAGAATGAGTAATTACTTCCGAAATTATGAGGCTTGTGAATATTGCGGATAAACTCTAGCTCCCATCGGCACAGTGAAGCTACGTAACGGATGGTGATCTAACTCGGATGATGAAACCTTTCGGTCTGGTTGAGATATGAGGTCGGTAATCGGAAGTTGGCACACCTAGATAGGTTTCGAAGCCGGTTTCCTAAGCCGTTTGTGCTCAGTCATCGTGATAGCGGGGAGCAGTCGGCCAGGGCGTTGCTTCACAAATCCGGTTAGACTGTGGTAGGACAAGATGCGTAACCTGCATGAAGTCACGTATCTTGTAGCTAGCTTATCCCCTTGGTGGCGGCTTTCCGGACGACGTCATGAGTTCTTAACCTGGTGCACCGTTTACTTGCATTTTCTGAGTAGTGAGAATACTTTATTATTTTTATCTCTCCTGTCGTCCAGCAAGAACTGTATTAACCAGCCGAGAAGCATTGTTCGGCTGTGAACCGCTTGTTAGGCGGTTTGGAAAATCAACGCATGCACATAAAGGTCACTTGTACTGAACTAGGACAATCTGAGTACATATCTGGCTACATCGCTTATGGTCTTCTGCGACCTTGCCCGACTGAATACCCGCGCGCACAAATTGCAGCCCCCGAAATATATCAAAATGTGCCCATCCCATCCGCCACTCATCTATTCCAACCATTCCAACTGCGCAGTTACATACATTGCTGGTAGGCACGAAACCCATAGCATTTGCAGCTAACATCAAGGATGATATCACTAATAAGTCGTCCTCAGAGCGGAAGCGGCTTAATCAGCTTGTAGTCATTGTGTATGGAGGTAGCCATGTTTCTCACGCGAGGACAAATATCAAGCCGAAAATAATCACACAGAATTCATCGTTTGGTTTCCGCAGCGGAGCATTTTCTGGCCTGACATGCTGAATATCGGTGAGGCAGTAGTTCTATCGCGCACCATCTGTCCTTTCCATTGAACCAAACCAGCATATTCCATAAACCCTTTCCTGTAGGTTGACACAAATCCAGCCCAGACTAGATTACGTCAGAATGCGCTTTTTGCAGATAAGGTTCCACACCGATCCAAACTGGTGTGAGTAAATTCGCCCCAGATGTCACCTGCGAACTTGGTCCTCCTCAGATGTACGCGGAGGCGCCTGTGTCTCAGAGGCATTCCTCCGATTCGAGACAAATCTTGCCCTCAGAAGTGTGAATACAATCAGCAATCATGCGATCCGGGTCGCGCCAACTCTGATTGACTACCGTGCAGAAGCATCAGGTGAACAGTTTAATCACAGCGTGTTCAATGGAAATTTCTGATAAAACTCCGATGTTGTGCCCCACCACAGGGAAAATGGAACAGGAATAAACCAGAAAGGCAGTATAGACATATCACCAACTGAAGTCACTAGGATCTCATCCAATAAAGCAGTGGAAGGATGGCCAGACATCTTAGAAAATCTCGATTATCCGATCGCCCGGAGTAGAGCATCTATTTGTGCTCATCTCGGAGAAACTGGTCTATATTCACTACTCACATGGTCGGATACTATTGATGTGTATGCCTCTTCATCCCTGTTGGTGTCTGTCCATTTACAGACGCCGAGCTTCATTAAAATGGTATCGCCCAGCACTTTCTTCCAAGACCGGAACGCCGGAAGTAAAGCACTATCCAAGTCGCGCAGGCTGTACAATAATACCAAGTCACTGATATCACTTTCAGTTCCTGCACCGGCTACTACTGAGTTGCAGCGCCTCGTGCAAGCAAGGCTTCGTGAGCACCCACAAGCAGGATTTCCACACAAGCCACTTGTACGCTTGGTTCAGACATCAGCTGATTCAGGCACCGGTTTGGCGACCTTGACTCGGACGTCAAACTAGGTCACCGAGTGTTAGTGCATGAGATTAGTATTCGAATAAATCATCCCGAAGTTTGGGAACAGGGGTGGGCTGTTGAATCGATACTTACCCTGTATCAAGCGTTTTTCAAACTAATACGCATGTGAGAGTAGAATGGAATGAGCCGAAAAAGCGGGTAAACACGCACTCTCTAGCCCACGCCTGGCTTAGCAGACGCCCGAGACAAATGACACAACGCAATAGCTCAGTAGCTGTAACGTGAGCGATGATTGCGGAGTGCGCAACACACTTGTCAGACGAGAGTTGTCAGGCCTGAGTGCCACAACCTAGCTCAGTAGCTGGAACGTGAGCGATGATCGCGGAGGGCGCAACACACTTGTCAGACGGGAATTGTCAGGTCTGAGCGTCACAAATTGCTCACTAAAGTCTAACACGGGTACCATCATTAAAATTTTCATGTCTCCGGTTTCCCTAAGGAGATTTCACGCTCAGATTTGCTTCATGCCCCACCCCCACCGTGAAGTACAGTAGGTCCGCCGAATTACCCCAATCGATGTTCAGTCCAGCCGCCTCCGCAACATGCTCGAAATCCTCCAGGAGGGTCCGCATATCTCCATCCTCAAATGGATGTGGCCACGGGATCTTCATCCGTTTCCTGGTCACGGCACCAAATGTGAGTAGGAGAGGTTCCTTTAGCAGTTTACGATCCTGTTCTAGGGCCGTGATCTCAAAGCAAGGGATTTATTAATTAGTCTGAACGCACGATCTAGGTGTCCGATCTGACGTGTAACACGTAGTCTAATTCAATCATGGATGTTCAGTAATAATTACGGCGAAATAGAATTCGGCGAACTTCACCTGCGTTTGTTCAGCGAACAATAAATTGATTTAGACGTGGATAGACAGTATAGATAGGTAGACCGTTGTTCCACAATAACTTAACAGTAAATAATCAGCAGAATTGAAGGAAAGCCCACGGCTAGACTGAACCTTGGGCAGATCAAAGTGATCCAAAATGTTCAACAACAAACTCAGAAATGAACTTGAAAAAATCGAGTTATGAAAACAGTCAATGGAGTATCGACTTTGTATAAAATAGAATAGTTTGGTGTTGAAAATTAAGTGGTCATCTGTGCAAAACCAACACCCCTTCGATTCCCATATTAGTGAAGCAGAGAACCGGAATATTGTGAAGCTATTTATGGGACCTCTCAGTGAGCACACTCATATTCGTGTCAACCACGGGGTCGTTTGCATGCTGATACAGTCATAAAGAATTCTGTGCCCATCCTGTCCACGTGACATGCGTCAATCGGTAGTCTGCTGTGTCACTGGACTTTCAACTGAGTAGGCAACACCCAAATCAGCATCTGTGCAAGACACTTGAGTCAGGGTGTTTTGAATGCTGCTAGTCCGAACGACGTCGAATTTCACTGAATGATGAGAATTCAAACTCAACAGACTAAACGGTCAAGTTGATAAGGCTAGACAAGGCAGCCGGTTTGTGGCTGGTGTGTACGCTGGTTTGAGTGAGTGGCCACAGCACGCCGTGAGGAGAATCCCGACAATGGAACCAGTAATTGCTCGGTTGTCCTGTTTGTCCCGGCCGTGTCGCCTTCTACAGGGTAAATCAATCCACCCTCTTGCAGCATATTGGATTGCTCATTTCCTCTGTGTGCGCCCTAAAAACCATGTTGTTACCATGCTTGATTTAATAGAGATTGTAGTTAGTTGCAAAGTTCCCGGTGCATACCGATTTGGCTTTCACGAGAGACTCAATTGAATCTCTCGTTTATGATGTTCTACGACTGTGTGTGGTGCACACAGGCCGCCTGAAGTTTCAGTTGCCACGATATTCGACATATCGCAGTATATTTTCATGAGAGAACCTACTCGCGAGGTTTACACAAGTGGTTTCCATAAGTCATTTATAAATGTCACCTCAAAACTGCTTATTTTTGGTATTCGGCGTATGCCGAGGATTCTCTGATGACCACTATCCTGAGAAACGATCCCACAGGCAACACGGTAAGGTGATTGAGAGAAGAACCCCATAGAAACCCCCCAGCCAGCACATCTTGCACTGATTGTAGTGTGTGCAT